AGAGTAAATATGATAAAAAGGAAATGTTATACATTGACAAATATAGTGTTTATCAGAGAATAGGAATTTACAGTTACTAGGGAGTTTGAGATTATAATATTATTTATTATCATATCTTTTAAATAAAATAACTCTGCAAACATAGTTAAGTGTGATATTGATGTAATAACAGTTGGTCTAAGCTTTTAGTGGTGTGTTCCCTATTTGTTACCTGACAGCTGCCATATGAGCCGTGTCATGACAAAACCAACATAATGGGTTTGCGACCAGAATGGATCCAGACCAGCTTGCGCATCCACGCAGTCTGATCAGGATCCACGCTGTTCGCTATCAGTTTCTCTACTTGTAATAGGGTTTGTAAGCCAACAGCATGGATCCTGATCAGACTGCGCGGATGTGCAGGCTGGTCTGGATCCATGCTGGTCGCAAACGCACTCTGTTGGTTTTGTCGTGACACGGCTCATATTTGTTTACATGTTCATAGCCCTTGCCGTGTATGGAAAGCCTGGTTTTGATAATTTTTGCGTGCCTTTCCTATGGAAATCAATTGGAAGCATAAGAGTAAAGGCAATTTAACAAAGTATTGTCCAAATTTGCCCTAGATTATCATTATTTCAGTGCTTTAAATAGTTTTTACTACTACTTTTATTACAGAAGTGTAGGTTTGTACTGATTAATATCGTCTGCAAAATGGCCAAGCTTCTACCAAACTTGAAGGAAATTGTACGCAAATAGAAGTAGAGAGCCTATTGCCGTATTGGTCAACCACTAGTCTGTTCGAGCACAGGTACGGGCGGCAGAGATGTAGATCATTAAAAAATAGACAATATTGCCATTTGGATTGGAATGTAAACTACCCTGTAGCACAGAATTTACCATGTCATGTTAAACAGACCGTTTACTGGGGTCTGTTAAAGGCTATGGATGCAAGTGGAGTTCTTAAAACAAAGGGGAAGAACTCGCGATGTATCACTTCAAAACCTTAAATGAAATCTTTATGACAGTTTATAATTTAAAGAGCCTACACTTAATTAATATTAGTTACTCAACTTACTGTACTGCATGGCAGATATTTTTAAATTTTTAAGGTATGCACACTTTCAGCCGAAGTTTCTCATGTAAGGTATACGTGTATAACATTATGACCTCTCTTTATCCAAAGAAATTTGCAAGATCCTGACAGGGCCAAAGATCGATCAAATACAGTCTTTATTTATATAGGCCTATGTTTTAGTTATTAAATTCCAAAACGACATACTATAAGTGATTAGCTAATCTCTTATATAAACATGAAAATCAACTGATAACAGGGGTAGAGAACAAGTTATGATGTAAGTTATGGAACGTCAAACTGATATAAATTCAAATATTTGAACCTATCTCTTTGCGAAACGAAGTCCAGCTCGTGCATCTATATAAATAGTTAAATAACGGAGCTGAGATTAAAACAATTAAGGGGGTGCGATGGGATGTAAATTCACAAACAGCTTAACGAATATGTTTTTAACGAACATTTAAATTTTACACATTGGCAGTATTAATAATTTCAGAGTGGCCAAAATTCGATAATTTTTCAAGGAGCCTTAAAATTCTGCACTCGGTAGCTACAATAATGTTTCCGAACGCAATTAATGAGACAGTGATGTTATCTAATAGAAACCCACCATCATTTAATTCATTTGTATTTTAAGTCGAAGACTTTGCAAATAATGCTCGATTTCTTTTTTTTATTTTACCTATATTTAGTTATATCTCTTTTAAATTTAAAGTGACATTATGTCATGGTGGGGTGAAAGGGTCAAAGTTAAAAAAAAAACTTGAGATTTTTCCATTATAAGTTTCAATTTTAATGTAGATAATAGTCCAAGTGTATAATCAATAACCCACATGAATCACAATAAATTCGAAAGATATCCTTCAGAATATTCGTTACGTTAAAGTTACATTTCATAAATTTCATAAAAAACTAAATAGCAACATTTCATTAATAAATTGGGTTTTATATCGACTCCAGGTCTTATTTTGGTGTCCAAACAACAAAAATGAGTTTTATTAGCATAGAAATAGGTAACCTCATTGTGGCGAAATGGGAAATACAATTTCTGTTTGCATGAGAAACTCCGCCTTCGGATCATCCGTACATCAATATTAAATCAACAAACATGACTATAAGTGACAGTCCTAATTTAACGGTATATTTCCGCATTGTAACGGATATTTTCATACAAATTTAATCTTTTTACGAGATTATTACTTTTACTGAACCCCAGGTTGAGTGCACCGTGAAGCTTAAACGGTTAAAGTGTGTTTGCACAAGAAAATATCACATTTGCTGTGTTCCGGATAGCAACTATAAAACTGTGACGTAGCGCATACACGAGCTCATTATAGTCTTCATTTGCATGTTAAAATTCGTATACGAACTTTAGTGGTACCGTGGGGTTTCCCGTTTAAAATCCTATTTTATGAACAATATTTGATGGGATTTACAACAATACTATTAAACAGGTTAATGAAACTGTAGAATGTTTGATTTTTAGGCCGACGGCAAAATATTTTACATATTTATTTAATGTAACTTTAAGGTCCCTTTGATTAAAAGAGTGGAGCAAGCCTTTTATATTTCAGGCAATTTATCATATTTATCCTTGACATTTTTCATAATCATTATTGTTCAATCGCCTTTATAATAGTCAATCTTTTTAAATATTTAGTCAATTAAACTCAACACCACAGCGAAAATAATGAGCATTATGTAACTTTAAAACAGCGAAGAGTGAAATAATAAATTTCTGCGCATAAATTTCTGCGCAAACTATTTAATTTTCAGACACGCGCAAGTACGTATATAGAGAGGGAGCCCAGTTTGAATATCTCTCCAATTTATTTATTTCAGATTCTATTGAAAATAACCACTGTTGTACAGCGTTCACCGGAAATAGCCCCAAACGAAAGTAAAAAGGTGAACGTCGAGTTCACTTGAGGTAATGTTTCAACTTATTTCTCCATCATAACTTAATCATTTTTTTCCAAACAAAATACTTTTGTGAAGCTGAATATATCTGGTTTTAGAGCAGTATTTGCTTTTTTCTGCAAATTGAATACTTTTTATTAAATTGGCGATATATAAATTGTTGCGTATTTGTTGACAATAGCAAATGATGTTGATATTTACAACTAAATCAAGCCCAATTAAAACGCATTTTCTGTATAAAAATCCGTCTGTAAAACAAAATGAGCCGTGTCACGACAAAACCAACATAATGGGTTTGCGATCAGCATGGATCCAGACTAGCCTGCGCATCCGCGCAGTCTGATCAGGATCCATGCTGTTCGCTTACAAACCCTATTACAAGTAGAGAAACTGATTAGTCATGACACGGCTCAAATATAAATTTACCTCTACTTGTATTTGAGTGGTCACCCATCAACTCGAGCTGCTTTTGGCAAAATTTGCGGAAAACAGTTTTGCCTCGTGTACAGAGTCTAGCAAGAAAAACAAACTTAAATGAACGGGTGTAATATTTTAATGTACAGGGTTAAGTAGATAGATAGAGTGTGTACGGTGTCTGGCAGTCACATAATTTTAAAGTTTATAGTCTTTGATGAGCCTCCAATCATTCTGATGAAAGGAATGACACAAGGTCATGAATGTTAACTTAAATAATAACTTATATTCATACTATAACACGAGAATGTGTCATTCCATGTAGCCACTTGCTTTCTTACAAAAACAGTAATCAAATCTAGTGAATTCATGTATTTTTCATAATGTGTTTTTTTTTATATTATATTATATTTGTGAGTGGAGGCTAGCAAATAACTTGAGATTTGACACTTCCAGTGGAACACAAACGTATGTCTTCATATTATTACCTAACAAATTAAACCTGACCAATATGAGTCAACACAATGCTGGACAAACTAAAGCCAATAATTACGGTGATAACACAACACCCTTATAACACAGCACCCTTATAACACCCCCTTATGAGCCATAAAATATAGACACGCTCACACCAATGTCCTTCTTATAAAGAAAAATAGTCTTATGAGTTAGTATCTCAAGATATCTGTGGAGAATGATATATAGGAGGAAGTCAGGCCAACTATGGATCTGTTCAATATCATTTGCTGAATCTAACACTCTAACTTTTTAAACGTAATTTGTTGTAATGTGTATTATATCTTTTTATTTGGAAAATAAAGGCAAATCGCCAGCAAAATTGCTCTTAGGGTGGATCGTGTTTGAAGTGTACTGACATGCACAGCTCTTAGACTATACTTATCATTGTTTAAGACAAATTATACAAACCTACTGTAAAGTTCTACCAATCTGTAATATAATAAGGTCTACTGAGTTTTATATTTTCCTATAAACTCAAAGTCTCATATAAAAAGTTGGCGAGCGCAAGAAAACGGCTTACTTGCTTACGTATATTTAATTAAATGTTTCTTTTTTATCCTTTGAAAAATATTAAAAAAATTCACTTTCCGATCCTGCTCCCTACATCGATTGTTATTCCTTCATCAACGTACGTGCATTTTCATTCATTTACCTACTACAACCCGTACACTCGCTAGCAGATTTCCATCTACACCATGTACACAACCGTGCTAGGTAAGACTGTTTTTCAAAAGCAGCTCGAGTTGATGGGTGGTCGCTCAAATACAAGTAGAGGGAAGTCTTTATTTTGTACCAAAGACAGATTTTGACAGAGAAAATGCGTTTTGGGCTTGATTTAGTGTTAAATATCGACATCGTTCGCAAATGTCAACAAATACGCTAGAATTTATCGCCAATTTAACAAAAAATATTCAATTTGCAGAAAAATTGCATATTCGATCAGCTTCACAAAATTGTTTGGTTTGGTTTGGAAAAATCGATTAAATTATGATAGGGAAATAATATAAAACATTAACACGTACACATTTTTACTTTGTTTTCGATGTTTTGAGGGGCTATTTCCGGTGAACGCTGTACAACAGTGATAACTGTAGAGTAGTTCAAGTAGTTTAAGTAAATACACATTAGGCGTTCCATAAACACAGGCCACTTTAGGTGTCCAGCGTAGATTAAGTTCTGATTATTGAACCGTTTAACTGACAACGATATTACAGGAATTTAGTTAACATTAGTTTATCGGGACTGGAAAATACAAACTGACAAAAAATGGCGAACACAAAGGCAATCGTTGAAGGTAAAATCGCTGGGAAGAAAGTGATGGTGTTTTCAAAATCGTATTGCCCATACTGCAAGCTTGGAAAGAAAACACTCGAGGCTTACTTGGGAAAGGAGTTAAATTCAGATGATTATGAAGTATGGGAGATTGAGAATGAAAGTAATTGTGGAGAAATACAGAGTGTACTTGGTAGCATTACCGGAGGCCAAACTGTGAGTATAGCCGCTTTCCTTTATTTCCTTATGTTGGTTCGAAGTATTTCTTTATTAGTATTTTTTGGTATTGGTATTTTTTTATTAGTATTTTTGTAAGCGGTATTACGCTGACTTTAAAAACGTAAATTATTCTGCATACCACTTCATTTATGGATTTAGAAAATGCATGGGGGTGCATATGGAAAGACGAAAACTTAAATAAGACGGTTCAGAAATTAAATTAACTTGTTGCATTATGCGTGAATATGAATATTAATTCTGGTGTGTCAAACCAAATGTACATTTGAGCCGTGTCACGACAAAACCAACATAATGGCTTTGCGACCAGAATGGATCCAGACCAGCCTGCGCATCCGCGCAGTCTGATCAGGATCCATGCTGTTCGCTATCAGTTTCTCTACTTGTAATAGAATTGGTAAGCGAACAGCATGGATCCTGATCAGACTGCGCGGATGCGCAGGCTGGTCTGGATCCATGCTGGTCGCAAACCCATTATGTTGTTTTGTCGTGACGTGTCTCATTTGTATTTGTAAGATTGTACATTTCATATACATTACTTACATAAAGAAAAAATGTTACAATTCCTTTGTGCAAATTAACATGCTTTGACCAACTACATGTGATCTTCTACCAGACATAATTGTTGATGAAATTATATTATATTTAGATTATTTTAATTTTACAATTTCGTGTTTCATGACACTTTCAACGCTGGATAACTTAATTTAGTTCGGTGGTAACGACGAAACTAAAATAACCGACTTTAACAAAATTGATACTGAATTTATTGACATAAACATCTTAAATACAAGTGTAAGAAGGTTATAAAATATTGTAATCGGATTATATATGTGCTTGTAAAGGTTAGGATTAGAACACTTATTGATTGTACGTTAAAATCTATTTTTTAAACACAGGTGCCCGGATTTTCATTAACGGCAAATTTGTTGGCGGCGGATCAGAGGTTCAAGCTTTGGATCAAAGTGGGGGACTACGAAAACTGTTGTCATAGTAACAGATGGGCAACGTGCAAAGTCAAGGGGAGAAACAGAAATAATAGAACTTTCGAAAATGAACTGTTAAAAGTGTGTAATTGTAGTTAGATAAATGTATTTATATGTACGTATGTGTTAAACAAATTATAATTGCAATTGTCATTTTTTATTTAGTTACTTTAGCATTTATTTGTTCCAAAATGTTATCTCTTGATTATGTTTTATTTCATTTCATTATTTCACATAAATTAAAATGATGCAGTATATTTGTTTGGACTTTTGAAAGAGCCATTTTCCTCTATATATAAATGCATTCCTATACTCGTACATGTATGTATGCGTGAAGTTACTAGGTATATTGTATTTGAATGATTGACACTCTTTTTTTGCAATGAATAATGCGGTTTCATTATAACTACAGGATGTATAATTTGAGACCAAATGATACCCTAAATCACCAGCGATTTTCCAAATTTAGTAACGAATGCTTTTTCTTGCCTATGGGACTGAAGCTTGTATAAGCCATGGAGCTTGTAAGCCACGAACCTTGTAAGCCACGAACCTGTAAGTCCTGAAACTTGTAAGCCATTAAATTGTAAGCCATTAAACTTGTAAGCCATGAAGCGTGTAAGCCATGAAGCTTTTAAGCTTGAACCTTGAAAGCCCTTTAACTTGTAAGCCATGAAACTTGTAAACCATGAAGCGTGTAAGCCATGAAGCTTTTAAGCTTGAACCTTGAAAGCCCTTTAACTTGTAAGCCATGAAGCGTGTAAGCCATGGAGCTTTTAAGCTTGAACTTTGAAAGCCCTTTAACTTGTAAGCCACGAAACTTAGGAACCATGAAGCGTGTAAGCCATGACGCTTAAAAGCCATGGAACTTGTCAGCCATGACACTTTTGAAAGCCATGAAGCTTCAATGCCATACTTTCTTCCTGTTAAATGTTGTGCAGATTCCTAATAATAGTTTTTGGCCAAATTTCGGGTTATCGGCGAGGTGTTCCGAAATCAAAATAGCATTCAACGATCAAATAAATATTTACTTAATCAATTGCTCTTGCATGCTATATGTGATAAAGATTAAACTTTACCCATTTAAATGTAAGGTCAGTTTTCACAATGTTATATCTTGTTTTACAGATAATTTTGCATAGTATCCTTCTATCCATATACACAGTGATAGAGGTACAAATATAAAAATAATGAGAGGCTTCTGATTTGAAATAAAATCTACGCGGGTATTTGCTGATTGATGGCATCTGGTTTTCACCTTTAACCTGCTTAAATAATTTTATTATGATATATATATATAATAATGGATTTGTTTTGTTTATAATTTTGAATAGCCCTTTAAAAATTTAAGAGGTATTATTATCAAAATACAAAAAATGAACTGCCAAAACAATCTTTATTTTTGTCAAACTGTCTGGACTAGCTATATAGCGTTGGCAACGACTTTAGGGTTAAGTGCACAAATTAACGTCCTTAATTACGGGAATCAGTCGAGTACTGGTTAGTCCAGAAATGGTATATATAAGCTTACAGTAATCATTACTATTAGCTAAAGATTAATTGAGCCGTGTCACGACAAAACCAACATAATGCGTTTGCGACCAGCATGGATCCAGACTAGCTTGCGCATCCGCGCAGTCTGATCAGGATCCATGCTGTTCGCTATCAGTTTCTCTACTAGTTGTAATAGGGTTGGTAAGCGAACAGCATGGATCCTGATCAGACTGCGCGGATGCGCAGGTTGGTCTGAATCCATGCTGGTCGTAAACGCACTACGTTGGTTTTGTCGTGACACGGCTCAATTAATTTAATCTCAAACTGGAATCAAAATGTATCTTTAGATCTAAATATCTTGTTCTAGCACGTGCAAGAACGTCCAATTCTTAAATATCATCATCATTGTTAATCCTAACTGAGAGGCTAATCGTAAAATAACAAAAAAATATATGAGCTAGCTTAAAAAGTAGGACCTAAGATTTTAAGAAGAATAAGATAGCAAAGCCTAATATTTCATGCGTACGTCATGGTATACAATAATGGTAATGGTAATACATTAACCTGGTACCAGCCACATATGTGACCTCTGTCTATTATAAAGGTGACACGTTTGGGGTTTTTAAATGTAATCGTACAGTGATTCTGTATTTCGTAAAAACTTTCTACACAACATGCCTTATTTTTAGCAGAATCTATCATACATATGTTGATACTTTAAAATCGCGTTAGCTTTAATGCCATATTTCAGAAATAATATATCCCAAACAGTGATTTTATCGCTCAATAAAATCACTGTTTGGAGTTCGGATGCGAGGGCTGTGCAGTTAAATACCAGATGGTATTTGGAACGATCATAAAGAATGGGTTACACCTTCACATACTTGTTCGCTATGATTATCTAACATGATAAGAACAGGTCCAATAACTCTGAGTTACCCTTTTAATAGATGGAGTTATGCCCCTTTCTAATTGTCAAGCAGAGAATAGTCGAGCGTGATGTCTTACGGACAGCTCTTGTTGATTACTCAAGGTTGTCAAAAATCGAGGAATAAATGTACAATGTTTGATCAAATACATAATGTAATGTAGCAAAACAAAACAAAATACTAGAACATTTTCAATACAACTTTGTTTAAACTATTAACGCAATATACCCGTGTGTTACAACAAAACTTTCGGTATATACTCACCACATGCTATAATTCCTATTACATAGATCAGATCTTTACATTTTAATTCCATCATATAGAGAATAAAGATGTATTTGTTTTCACCATAAACAGTAATGGTAGTTTCTCATTACATAATGATATATAATATATACATGCGAAATACCAGTTACAGCATTTTGACCGCGACAAACTTAAATCCAGTACAATTTTCTTTAATCATTTGTGAGGCCAGGTTGAACCAAAGTAAATAAATACAAATATTTATATTGTTTTTAACGGATTATTCATTTTTCCATATTTTTAAATAGCAATGGCAGGGTATGAAAATATGACGATATTTTTCTGTTTCTGATTAAAATGTAGATTTAATGTTAAGGGGTAAAAGTGAAAAGGAAATATATGTTTTGCACAAAAGTGACCCCCTATCCAATCCTCAATTCAAATTTTATCACATATAAGATAATGTTTATATACATGACGAAGTACGTACCCATACCGGCTTGTACATTATATGATAACAGAATTTACCTTAAATACTACCATTTCTTTTGGATTTGAGATTATGATAATTATCGAGTCCTCTTAATCATGTACACACTGTATCATGTTGTACGAATAAAGGCGTGTTACATATAATTGTGTCTTGCTCACGAGTTTATCATAATAAAAAAAATAATTTCATGATCACCTTTGTTAATGAAAAAATTTTCCTCTTAAGATTTTTTGTTGTTGATATTTTGATAAATTTGTTGAAGCAAAACCAGAACGAATGGGAGATAACCCGCACTTGAATGCTCCTGAGAAAAAAAAACTTACTGAACATCTCTTGACATGATTTAGCAAAATTCAAAAAGAATATGACCCACTTTTGAACGCCTTTGAAATCACACATACAAAAACTTTGACACACATATATTATATATATATATATATATATATATATATATATATATATATATATATATATATATATATATATATATATATATATATATATATATATTTGAAAACTGGATGTTAGACACCAATCTGAAGTAAATCTGGCCAGTATACATGTAGTTTCAGTGAAGATGAATGTTGATGGAAGGGAAACAATGATGGAGCATCCCATACTTATAGCTTTCCCTGAACCGTTGGTACTCAGGTAAACTAAGAATTATGGAGGAATAAGGATTATACTACACTGTAAAACAAGAGGGCCATGATGGCCCTGAGGTCGCTCACCTGTATATAGGCCCCCGGAGCGAGGCCAGTTTAAAAACCAGGGCTTTTATTTGAACAAACTTGGAAGACACCCATTAGAAGATGTTTCATGATGTTAAATTTTTACTACACACATATAATGAAAAACCCCGGCAGGGCCAATTTTAACCCAAGGGCTTTTATTTGTACAAACTTGGTAGACAACTATAAGAAGATGTTTCATGCTTAACATCAAAGCTCTAGCTCATTGGTTTTTTTTAAGAACATGTTTACACATATAGTTAAAAACAATGATACCCCTGGGGCGGGGCCAGTTTTGACCCCAGGGCTTTTATTTGAACAAACTTTGTAGACACTTACTAGAAGATGTTTCGTGCTTAATATCTAAACTGTAGCTAGTTGGGTTTTATCAAAGAAGATTTTTAAATTTTTGCTATACACGTATAAGGAAAATTAAAGACCCCCGGAGCGGGGCCAATTTTGACCCCAGGGCTTTTATTTGAACAAACTTTGTAGACACTCACTAGAAGATGTTTCACGCTTAATATCTAAACTCTAGCTATTTGAGTTCTTTTCAAAGAAGATTTTTTTAAGTTTTTGCTATACACATATAAGGAAAATCAATGACCACGGGGCGGGGCCAATTTTGACCCAAGGGCTTTTATTTGAACAAACTTGGTAGACACCCATTAGAACATGTTTCATGCTAAATATCTTCGCTCTAGCTCTTTGAGTTCTTTAAAAGAAGATTTTTTAAGTTTTAACCATATGCATATAGGGGAAATCAATGACCCCCTGGGGCGGGGCCAATTTTGACCCCAGGGCTTTAATTTGAACAAACTTGGTAGACACTCACTAGAAGATGTTTCATGCTAAATATCTAAGCTCTAGCCTTTTTGGTTCTTTAAAAGAAGATCTTTTAAGTTTTTACTATATGCATATTGAGAATTCAATTACCCCCTGGGGCGGGGTCAATTTTGACCCCAGGGCTTTTATTTGAACAAACTTGGTAGACACTCACTTGAAGATGTTTCATGCCAAATATCTAAGCTCTAGATCTTTGGGTTTTAAAAGAAGATATTTAAAGCTTTTTCTTTTGGTTGCCATGGCAACCAGAGTTCTGCATGGAATTAAAATCTTTGAACAATTTTTAAAGGTGACCACCGAAGGAACATTCCTGTGAAGTTTAGATGAAATTGGCTTAGCTGTTTATGAGGAGATGTCGTTTAAAGTAAAAGTTTACAGACGGACGACGGACGGACGCCGGACGAAAAGCGATCACAAAAGCTCACCCTGTCACTTTGTGACAGGTGAGCTAAAAACAAGATGGCCTTAGATCGCTCATCTGACCCATCGAATTCACCCGACAAGCATCCTGACCAAGT